GGGGGGGGGGGGGGGGGGTCCTTTCCAGCTCGCGATAGCTAGTGATATCCGGTCGAAATTTCTATGCTAAATAGTCGCTTCGTCTCTCGTCTCTCGATAGATAGACTCTCGTGTTCGAGGGGCTTAAGCTTTGTACTTTGTAGTGGGGAAGGAGGAGAAGGGGAGAGAGTAAAGCGCTCACCTGCTGAAAGTCCATGAAGAGCTTAATTCCGAAGAACGCGCAAAAGTAGCTGAAGCTCGTGCTGATGCTGGAGCCGAGACCGCGATACTCTAGAGGGAACAGTTCGCCAATCAATAGCCAAGATATTGGCGATATGCCCAGGGCGAGGGCGGTCGTGAACACGAGCACGCAAAGCAGCGGTATCCAATCGTGTTGGCCCACCACTGCCGAATCCACGTAGCCAAGGTTTTGCGTTTGTGACACGTAGTACGCGTAGCTGCCGAAACCGGCGAGCGCGAGGGACATGAAGACGGTGCTGGCTATCAAAAGCGGCAATCTTCCCACGATATCGATCAGAAATCCTGTGGTGAAGAAGAGATCTTCCGATTAAATGCAACGTTCGCGAACGCAATATTTTCAGTAACGGGGAAAGAGAGACAGGTCAGACATTTTTAAGAGCCGCGTATGATTTCCACGTACATTGAGATAAATTTCAAAATTTGCGTGCGTGGGATACACAAGGTTTATTTGTAGAAATAAACTTTGTATCCTGCAAATAAATGTTCAAGTCTTCTCTCTCCTCAGAGTGTAGGGTGTTATTTATAATCCGCTCTTAACTCGGGAAATCATTTGCGGACTCGTTAGATATGTAACGAGGTGTACCTGATAGCAACGCGGCGCACAGTTGCACAAATCCGATCGCAATGGTCGCTCCATGGGGGTTCATTCCTCCCAGGGTCTGACGAAAAATGAGAACCGCGTAGTAATTGAACGCATTCGCGCCGGAGAATCTCTGGAAGAACATGAGACCGCACGTGATAGCGATAGGTTTGTACAGCCTCGGCGTGAGGACGCTGTTTCTAAAGTTCAGCTCGTATTGCTTGGCCCTCGACGCCAGAATATTCGTTTTGATCACCTGGAAAAATACATGGTTAAGTCGCGCGCTGCACATCGCGCGCGCGCGCGCGGTCATATCGAGAAAATGCGCGTCTCGTTTCCGCGGAATCACCTGCAGCTCGTGCCGTATATCAACGTGCTCCCCGCGCAGCCACTGCAAACTGCTGGCGGCTTCCTCATCTTTGCCGTTCAGCACGAGGTACGACGGTGTCTCGGGTATAAAGAGGGTCCCCAAAAAGAGCATTGACGGTGCGACCGCCACTAGTAGCGCGCTCTGTCGCCAATTCAGATATGTGCCGGCTATGTACGACAACAACACGCCGACGTGACCCAGCACCTTCAACATCGCCGACAAGCATCCTCGGATGCCCGGCATCGAGATTTCCGATATGTACACCTGACGAAAGAAAATCACTTGTGCGGTTAATCGGGCGTCTTAGGAAAGTCGATCGACCTCGGTTCTTCAGTCGGTTAGAGTTAATTAGTCTTACCTGAGCCACCATAGTAATGACCGAGCAGCAAAGCCCGCCGATGAAGCTGGTGACGTACACGAGCTCCACGCGCGGCGCGACCCCCGTCACTACCCAGGCAGCCGCCAGGGGTAAGGATGTGACACGTAGAGCTAATCGCCGACCTCGTCTCATTATCCAGTCGCCGATCATGGCGCCGAACCAGGCGCCCAGCATGGACAGAGAAGCGACCCACGAAGCTTCCTGTTGCGTAACCGAGAAGGCCGACCTACGGCAAATGAAAAGGCGATTACGCCGGCTGGCGCCCATTATCGGCCAATGCGGCAGGAATCCACCGGGTCGGACAGCCCCGATCTATTAGGCATTATTTGGCGGCGTAGGCAGACGTCAGGTGCAAATGTAATTACTCTTGGCCGCGGCGGCGTCTTGGCTGTCCAGTATTATTTGCGAACAGCTTCCTAGTCGAGTTTGCGTGCTGTCACATTGCCTTTGTCCCGAAATTAGCTACCAGGAGCGTAGCGCTCGGGAAATTCGCGGGGAACACGGATCAAGTTCGCCGAGCTGTCCGGCTGTGACTATTTTGCGTGATAAATTCGCGGATATCTTTCAATTAGCCGTCCTCTAGAGAGCGCGTCTCCTTTGCCAGTAATTCACACCTTTCAAACGCACGCGCGAGTTCTTACCATGTGTCATTGTTGGACGACTGGTAGAGATGGGGCGGTTGATTATCCAAGATCGAGTCCAACGCTGGCGAAGTGTAGCCCTTGGCCAAACCGGAGGAAAGAGTTCCCATTGATAATGCCAGGGTCGCTAGAACCTGGTCAGACAAACGAGCCCCGACAGGTTAGAAAAATTCTCCTCGGAGAGGGCCGAGTTTACGCGCGAATTGGCCTTTAATATTTTTCCACGCCGGAGAATTTATACGATATTATGCAGGAACGCGCGGTACGTAACGCCGGCGAACGTCAACTTCGTTCATTTATGTCGACAGACCGGGCGGAATTTATGCGTGTATTCCTTTTACTCCGCTCACGTGGGGGTCTCCTTATCGCTCTATAAAGACCGCGCGGAGTTACGCCGCGTCGAAAAGACTCGTAACTTCCACAATGATGCGCGGTCATTTTATTCGAGATATATTTCTGTCCCGCGCAAATTTCCAATTTTGCAGTTTTACGTTTCTCACGACTGAATATTAAAGTTCGTCCATGTGGAAATATGTAAATTTCTCTCGCCTCTTCTCTCTTTCTCATTTATCTCCGAATTGTTTCTTTTTTGTCGAATCCACCGTTTCATCACGTGTGATTTTGAGCAACAGAGAATGTTGGATGTACATTGATATTATCCGTCGCTCCATAACATGACGTTTCAGTAATACACACGTACACCTGGAGCGCGTATCGCGCGTTTGTACTCCCGCGGGGTGCAACCAACGAACAAATTGCTAGCCGCAAATTGAAAGCCGGGCTTGGTCTCTCGCGAGGAATACTAAACATTTCGCATGGCCCGCGCTTATGTATACACACGCGTATAGACATGTATAGGGGTTATTTCAAAGTACCACAACGGCATGTACATAGGCGCTACATACGTCCTTCGTGCGACAATGGACGGGCGTGAGTTCCTCGTGTGCATTTCGCAACCATAAGGGTTTATCGTTTTTCCGATAAACAGCCGCAATGATATCGCGAGTGACGAAGAAAAATTAGGGGGTATATTCAAAAGTCTTCCTCTAAGATCGACGTGGAAATGTCTAAACGCGAACAATAGCATCTTCCCGCGGGCATAAATTCACAAGTTTCCTCTTGACGGTCGATCCATCAAACTTGACTCTGTTGAAGTGGATCAGTAAAAAGTGTTTTCACTGAAACAGTAGAAGGAACATTTCGCCGATAATCAGCGAATATTCACTAATTCTCTGCGGCAACACTCTCACTGCTTCTACTGCTTCGTCTTGTAGCTCACTGATTTTCACCAGTGTAAAAAAATTCGAATTTCACTGCAAAATTTGTACATTATAAATTCGTTTTAGGAGAAAACGTTCAGTAATCGGCACTCTTGCGCAGATGTTGTCGGGTATTAAGGTATGGGGATTTAAAAGAAAAACGAAAATTAAAAGAAAACGGAAACAAGTAAATAATAATTGATAAATAATTAATAAAACTATGATATTGAGTAGGATCTGAGCAAGGATGCCGAGAAAACTGGTGAGTGTTGTAACGAGTGTCGGGCATTTTCCTCTACGCCGTGTCAACTTTCCGCGTTTGTGGTGATGGAATTACCGGTTTTCCCGTGTAATGACGTTGCCTGTGTTTGCATACTGCGTCAACAATGACAACAATCGTTACTATCGACTGATTCTGTCAACGAGACTTTACTGATTGCAGTGCTATACTTTTGACTGAACCACCAGTCAAGTACAGCACTCCAGCGAGGAATACACCGGTTGTGCTTTAGAGAATGGACATCAAGCTAAGCGTTTCGATATCTCCGTAAGCCGCTTACGTACTGCATGTATCTTACGACTTTGCATCCGTCTCCGCGTGCACTCTCAAGATCCGCGATTATACGGCGAGTGACGTAAGAAAATGTATCGCGAAATATCTTTGCGTGGTATGCATATTTTCTGCCGCGCGAATGAGCCTCCGAATGCAGTCCCCCATTTTATTTTCATCGGCTTCATGCCGTCGCGCATATTTCGCATTTCTGCCGCGAAAGCGCATTCTAATGAAACAAAACGCATGCCCAACCGTCGTTCCGTATTATTCTCGACTTATCTCGACCCGGGGGAACGGTCTGCCACGAAATAATTCTCCTTCGTAACAAGTTTCTTGACCTGTAGCCACTTAATTACCCAATCCGCTCGTTTAAGTGAATGTTAAACGGCAGTGTATCCTTCATCCCGCTCCGTAAGCGCGCAGCACTGATCCGCACTGATCCATAAAGTCGCATTACTCTCATGATAGCCGTTGCAAGACCTCGCGGATACTTCGCGCGTTAAACTCTGACCTTTCGTTGATGTGAACGTGCGATTTCAGCGTACGCGTGCGATTAGCGCGACGATATCGGTAGTACGACTTGAACGCAATCCGACGAGCCGTCGCGACTCATATTCGCAGACGACCACGTGCTCGATAAGGAATTTCACGCGGCGCCGATCCCACATAAATTTGCATGCACTTTCAATTATCTCGCTCGCCATTAGAAGCGCGCATAAACGGTCGTCTCGCCGTGATTAGTCGTGTGTCGCCGTGTGTAACCTTTCTATCGTCTCGCGGGATATCGTCTCCCTCTTACTCTCTCGTTCCCGAAGAATAATGCGTGGGTTGTACCGCCGCCGTCATCGCTTTACAATTAGACACCATTTTTCCCGTCTACACGCCCGTCGACCGTGCGAAAATTATAACGCAATCTGAGACGTGACTCCCGCGCGCCTTATCGATTAATTGGCGCGCACGACTATAAAGACCACGCTCGGCTTCGCGGAGACAAATTTACGACTGAGCTCCCATTCTCATTTGATGCTATCGAAATTTGTAATTGCAACGTTACATCGAGCCACGAATCTATCTCCAGTGGAACGCGAGAATCGTTAGTTTCGCAATTTGATCTTATTGCTCTGCCTTCTTACAGCTGAGACTTTTCTGTATCTCTGGCAGACAAAAATGTTGATTTTCAACAAAATTATATGTATTTGTTAGTTCAGAGTTCGTTGTCCTGGTCTGACAGACCCAGATCGCGTGTCTTAAAAAGTATGTGACGTGGAGGGTTAACAATTTGAAGTGACGATTATCGAGCGGATCTCTCGAACAGCTCGAGCCGCGTGGAACACGTCGGATGCTGTCAGTCTTAATTACTCGTGTAATGCGGCGCGCGAGTAAATAGCGATAATGGACATATAAGTTTACGAGCTCTCGGTTGACGCTTTCTTCGACTAATTATCGGGGCTCGCGATGAATAGCGCATTCAGTAATACGTGACCGCGGTAACAAACGCCCGATAAATTTCCCGTTTGTGTTGGCGAGAATTTAGAATATTGGCTATTATGGCTTACGAGATATACGTCGCGGTTATACGAGCCGTGTTTCGGCCACGACCTCGGGCGAACGGTTCCCATCAACGACACCCCCGAGAAGGGTCCTAACGAGCCGAAGAAGTACACGAGATCGCGCGCGACGAAGGGTCTCTCCCTCCGCGAACAGAAAAAATTCCGCCGGGATTCGCTCCTGGAGATATTATTTTTGGGCGTTCCTCACGCCACGTTTCTTCTGCGTTCCTACTTCGCTTTGTCTTCCTTCCCTCCCTCTCTTCCTTCTTTCTTTCACGGACACGACGTTAAAAGCTCGTTTGCATCGAGCCGTGCGAATACTCGGCAGTTCCGCAAGCGGCGGGGATGTGCATCAGTCCGGGTCGAAGTTAGCCAAGAGGGGAAGCCATTAGCTTAAAACTATTAGTCAAGCATGGGTGAAAGCGAGAGATCCCGAGAAAGAGAAGACGGAGAAAAAGAGAAGCAGAGAGAAGAGGGAGGGAGGGAGGGAGGGAGGGAAAACGAGCTTTAAAAGTACGTCCCGCTTACACGATTATGAGAATGGTCGGCCGGTAGTGTGTTAAGTGCACACCGAGTATGTGGGTGTCGACGAGACACGGTCTTTCTCTTTCTCTCTTCCCGTTCCGAAAGGTCTCCGCCGCGCCCGATATCCATTTTAAACCGGACCACTCAATTACGCTCAGTGCTATCTTCGGTGTTTGCATATCAATATGGCCTCTTGCCAAGGAGAAAAAGATTCATCGCTCCACCCGCCAGGATTATTTAAGAACTCCGTCCGGACGCGCGACGGCACGGTACAAATTGCTGGAGGATATGCTCCGCGTGTATACGCGGAGCAAAAATACTCACAGTCGTCGTAAATTTGCCGACTACGAGCCGCGAGGATTAGGTAGCCGGAGCCACGCGGCAGCCTTCGACAGGCTGTTGGCATCGCCATTCTTATGTCTCCGCCGTGGAAATCTCCGCGATATATTTTTCTCTCACTCGACCTCTCCGCACTCGACGAGCGCGAAACGCTCGTCGAGACATGGTTTATCCGAAACGGAAGCGCGTATACGGCGTTAACACTTCATCGCGGATTTATTGGAGCGCGCGCGTACGTATGTATTACGTACCTGTGACATGTGCTGCGGTCTCGTCGCCGTCGATGCCATGTGTACCACGGAAGCCCTGGGCATCTTAAAATTGTCCTCGCCCTCGTCCGGTATCGTTGTTACCTGCAACACAATGAAAAACGACGACTAATTAACGACACCGTCGACAAATGTCGACTGCGAAGTCCCTGATTTAAAGCGCGTAATTGTCTCCTTTGTTCCTTCATTTAATAAACTTCTTGGAGTGGAATCCCCCTCGGAACGAGTGAAAAGTGGCAGTAGTAGTGAAAATACTGCCACTCGAAGTCGCGAGAGTGAACGCGTTTCGCTCAGGGTGGATTCCGGCTCTATATGAGTGAACGTTTCGATCGATTAGAGTGAATACGTGACGCGGGAGTGTACAGTCGGTTGCAAATCGACTTGCACGCTTTTTATCGAGTGAATTGCAGCGCTTCAAATTGTCAGAATGGCGAGCTGATTGAATTGCAACCGACTATACGGTCGAAATTCACTTTTCAATTTTGTGTGAAAATATTCACTTCAGAGCGCGGGGAATTCACTCTGTGAATGAATGAAGAGCACAACTTTATTTTTTGAATGAACTTTCACTCCAAAAAATTCAGACAGCAGCCGTATAAATGTGTTACAATTCTGTCTGCTATTTTCTCCTCGTCCTCCGATGGCTCGCCATTCCGAAAGAAGGTTCGTTTATTCTCTTTATCTCCTCTGACAACGGAGTTCCCTTCGTACCGGTGATATTTTTATCGCGAAACTTTCTTTCGGCTGATAATACTCTCCCCTGCTCTTCTCCGCCCCTCTCTTTCTCTCTCTTCCAGTCTGCTGACCGTGGAATTATTAGCTGCCCTTTCGGGGCTGGGAGTGGACCGTCAATCATTTGTATTATCTTAGCGTTGGCCGCGAGTCATCTAGGTAGTAAAGCGAGAGAGCGGCTTAAGAGATGCGCTGCCTCTGTGAGAGCTGTCATCTAGGTTATCGCGTCAAGCTCGTCGGACCGAGTAACGAAAAGGGGCCTCGACGGG